ACCTAGCTTCATCTTCCTCCAGGTTTGTGAAGGTGAAGAGGTGCCTGCACCGTGTTGTCCCGTCACAGGAAAATGCCACGGGGTCTGGCCACATCACCAGCAGCAAATCTCTAAGGGGACTAGGATGGTGCTGAGGGCCCGATGTCCCCACTGTCCACAGGGTGGGAGGGAAGTGGAGCATCTTCCCTCTTTTAGGAGAATGACTGTTGCTCTCGCTGGTTCTGGCACATCGCAGCTCATCCTCCCAACCAACGTCCTGGAAAGAGCTCAAACCCTCCTGCTGCCGGAGCGTGGTCCTGGCATGCAGGCTGAGCCCCGTCTGGGTCAGCCTGCTCATCCCCCAACACCTCCATGCTCACAGGGATGAGGTGATGCTCGTATTCCTCAGGGGAAAATCCTCCCTGGACCGGCTCTGCCAGTCACACGTGGCTTCTCCTCACATTCTCCCGATGCTGCTCAGGCAAAGCCTTTCACTAACTAGGGCAGGTGTCCCTGGACTATAGTCACATCCATCCAACAGGTCACCTTCAAGGTCTTTCCCAGCTCTATCACCTTCCCAGCCCACCTTACATCACTTCTGAAAACCCCATGACGGCCTTTCTACAAGGTACAGCCCTTCCCACTCTTCCTTATTCCATGCATTAGATGCTTTTATACTTTATTTCTTGATGCACTATTCAAATCCCTAGCCAACAGCAACCATTTATGTTTTGAAACATATTCTCTTGAGAGAGCTCCAGAGCCGTCTGAACAAAACGCACTGGTTCCTAGCAATTATGCTAAAATTGTATTCCACTCCATGCCCTTTTCCAATATTAATTTAATTTTTGCAGTCCTCCTCTGCTCCCATAGCAGCTGCTATTTCTGGAGTCTTTCTTCCATGGGGAAACTTTCTCTCTGTGAACCGTCCCTGCAGTCCTATGCCTGGTTTTGGATGGTGGATGAGGAGAGGAACGAGCAAGTTGGAAAAAACACAGATATAAAGAGACAGCCAGGAAAATATCAGAAGAAAAAAAGAAAAAAAAAAAATGCCAGGGCAGTATCTGTATCCTTTACTAGATTTAGCCCTTAGTCCAGAGCTCCTGATGCTGAGTTCCCTACCCTTCCTGCTCTGGCAGCAGCATTTCCAGAGTGCTTGGAGGAAGGATAAGAAAAGTGCTGCTCCCGTCTTGCCTCTGAAGACATAAAATATGAGACTTCAGCAGGCCCTGAAACTGCTGAGCGATGCTCAGGATGGAGCGTTCTCCAAGAAATGTGAAATAGCCACTATCAGCATGATTGTAAAAAATTAAAATCCAGAGGAAGAAGCAAGCTGCTGCCAGGGGAGCCAGAGAGCATCTGGTGTGCGAGCACAGAAACACCAGGGAATGAAGTTTCAGCTCTGTAAATATGCAAGAAGAGCTCCCAACATCACGCCCACCCTCACCAAGCTGCTTACGGAGGGTCTCCACCGTGCACGGTGTCCCTTGGGTGACAGGGGAACACATCTTGGATACAGTCTTAGCAATTTGGGTCATAAATCAGATTTTGCTAACAGGACAGAATCTTCTTGTTTTATTATTATTATTATTATTATTATTATTATTATTATTATTATTATTATTATTATTATTATTATTATTATTATTATTATTTCCTTCTTCTTGTGTTTCCAGCACGTGGCACGTCACCCCCCATTATTATTATTATTTCCTTCTTCTTGTGTTTCCAGCACGTGGCACGTCACCCCCCAGGTCGCCCACCTGAGGTCAGGAGACGCCCTTTTGTGGCATAAAGTGCCATTCGGCTAATTCTCAAAATGACTGACTTAAAAAGCAACTCAGGGAATGAAAAGAGAGCTGATCTGAGGGGGATATTTCATAGTTCTCATAGGTTACAAAAATTTCTTTCCCTATTGTATCAACCGGTCTTTACAGCATGAAAGTGTATTAACTTTGTTAATACATATATTAGCTCACATCACACACTGTAATGGGGTCAGGTGGTGGAATTTTACTTTGGTATTGTTCATGCCCACGTAAAACAAACTAAAGGACAGCCTGGCCCTGGAAATAAGGACTTTGCTTCTTGGAAGCTCAGAGCTGTCCCTGAAGTCTAAAGGATACCCCGGGTGTGTCAGCCAAGGTGAGGACAGCATCCCAGCCCCCCCGGCACACCTTTGGAACCCTCCCAGCATCGCCTGGCGTCAGAGATGAGTAATTCCAGCAAGACTGACTCCAGGGACATCTGGATCAATAGACAAGCAGCCCGAATGCTGCAGAACCAGATTCATTTTACAAAGTTTTAATGTGATTAATAATTAGTTGGGGGGGGGGGGGGGGGGGGGGGGGGGGAGGGAGGAGGAGACTGTTAGTGATTAGCCAAATCGTGTTGTACCTGAACGCTGGAAGGGTATAAGGACCCGGTGTAAAACCACGTCGGGGTGCCCCAATTTGGCTGGGACACCTCATGTCGCAGTATGAATAAATATTTGCTCTCGTAGTCCGTGTCCCAGCCTCTCTCCGTGGTCAGCTCAGGCCAGCTGTGAATTTTTGTAACACCTGTCAGGTGGGGTTTGCTCTCCCGGGATGGGGAATGCCGACGTCCTTCTGCTCCCTCTGCCCCCAGCATATCTCCCCCCCGCAGCAGCGGGACCCGGCCGTACAAAATTATTTGATTTACACCAGGGTGCAAGTTCCCCATCAGCGACAGGGGTGAGATTTTGCTGCAAGGCCAGGAAAATAGGTGAGTGCAGCAGCTAAAGAAATGATGCTGTTGGCACTGGTGGAGCAGAGGATGAAGTCACAGATAACAAGTCCACCCGCCCAAGGTCAGGGCAGACACCCACACCAGCAATCGGGCCGCGGTAAGGGATGTGTCTGAGCCAGAACAGCAAACCCAGCAGCAGCACTTCCCCGAGGAGCGGGCGGCGAGACTAAAAATCATGAGTTTGGGTTTTTGTTTTTTTTTTTTTTTTTTTTTGTTCTAGAAGCAGCTGTAGCTGTCAGGGCTGGAGCCCATCGGGAGGTGAGGTGGTGTCGCAGGCGAAAAGCAGCGCCGTGAGCACGGGGGAATCGTTCTGCCGGGGCTGCAACGACAGGGAGACACATCCCACCCTTCCCGATTCGCCTGATTTTGCACACTGCAAGGTGCATCCTTGGCAGCCCGTTTACAAAAAAGCACGAAGGAGAGAATCAGACATCAGGAGGCATCTTACGCATTTAGAATTTCTCTGCAGCGCTGCCCTGCAGTTCCAGCTCTGGGGTAGTGTGCTCACCAGTTCCCTCCGCCTGATTTTTTTTATTTTTAGCGAATATTAGCACAAGCAACTTCTGTCAGATAAAAGGAAAAAAAAAAAACATTTCCCAGACCCTCGCTCCTACTCCTCCACCCTTCAGCGTAGCCCGGTGAGGGGTCAGATGGAAGAAATGTTCTGCTGGAAGGGACGGCCAGCAGAACGATGGCCATTTCCAGCTGGCCCAGCGCCGCGCGGCTCCGCGGGACGGGGTGCGGTGCCAGCCCGGGAACCGGGGCGAGAAGCGTGATGGACGCGGGAGAGCGGAGCTGCCAAAATGGGAAGGGGGAACTGGCAGTCACTGAAGCGAGTTCTGCCATCAAGAAGCTACTTGCGAAAAAAAAAAAACGCGTTTGCTGTCTTATTTTTTTTGCTGACGATCTTAATTTTGCCGCATGTGTAAGATTCGCTTTAGCAAAACAAATACCGCTCTTGGGTTTTTGCCACGCCATGAATTTTTAATGCTTTATTAGAACGCTGGAGGGTTTCGGGCGAGCCTGCGAGCGCTTGATAGAGTGAAACTCCACTTCGTTACCTGCTCGCGCGCCGCGGGGACCATCTGTCCTCGGGATTTAACAGCTGGGAAACCGATCCCAGCCGCCAGCTAATCCCGCACGGACCAGGAACCTCTGGCCAAAACCCGCTGCCAAAGCCGCCTGCACCGTCATGCGCAAAGATATTTATTTTTTGAAAAGGGGTTCAGGACCCTTTGGGATCAGGCAGAGCATGCGCTACCCCTAATAAACAGCCGGCACCGAAAATAACAACAAAACAAAACAAAAAAAAAAAGGTGGGTGAAGGGTTCGTTAGTGTGAGATGTGAGAGAAAAGGGGCAGCGGTGGCGGGCAGCGAAGGGCCAAGGCTGGGGAGGTGCAAGATGGGGGGATTTACACCCGCACTGGGAAAATATATATCGGAAAAAGGGTATTTAAAAAATGCATTTAAAATAAACGTATTTTAAAAAGAGATTTAAAAAATGTATTTAGAAAATGTATTTTAAAATGTATTTTAAAAATGTATTTTTAATGTATTAAAGAATGTGTTTTTAAAAAGTCTTTTTTAAAATGTATTTTTAAAATATATTAAGGAATGTATTTTTTAAAAGTACTTTTTAAAATGTATTTTAAAAATGTATTTAAAATGTATTTAAAATTTATTTTTAAATGTATTTTAAAAATATTTTTAAATGTATTTTTAAAGTGTATTAAAAATGTATTAAGGAATGTATTTTAAATATGGGGGGGGTTAAAGTATTTTAAAAATGAAAATGTTTTAAGAAATGTCTTTTAAAAAAATGTATTTAAAATACATTTAAAATGTATTTTTAAATGTATTTTAAACATTTATTTTAAAAATAGATTTAAAAGCGTGTTTTAAAATTGTATCAAAGAGTGTCCTTTAAAAATGTATTAAAAAATGTATTTTTAAAATTTATTTTGCATGTACTAAAAGCATGCGTTTTGATCATTTCTCTAAAAATGCATCCCAAAACGTATTTTCAAAATACGCTAAAGCACGTAGTTTAACAGCGCGTGGGCAGCCCCGCCTTGAAACGCGCCTCGAGCCGCGCGGCCCGCGGCCCCCCCGCCAATCCCCCGCGCTCCGCCCACCCGCGACCCGCCGCTCCCAACCGCCGGGGGGCGCTGCCGCTCCGTGGCCACGCCGGGCCGGGGCGGCCGGCGGTGACCAATCGGGAGCGGCCGTTCGCGCAGGCGGGTCACGTGGGGAGGGCGTTAGCCACGCCCTCCTCCCGGGGCCGGGGATGGAGCCCGGGCCGGGACCGGGGATGGAGCCGGGGACCGGGCGCTGGTCCGCGACCTCCTGCGTTCTGACCGGCGCCTCCCGGGGCTTCGGGCGCAGCCTGGCGCGGCTGCTGGCTCCGCTCCTGGGCGAGGGTTCGCTGCTGCTGCTGCTGGCGCGCTCGGCGGCGGCGCTGAGCGAGCTGGCGGCCGAGCTGCGGAGCGGTGGGCCGGGGCTGCGGGTGGAATACGTGGCCGCCGACCTGCGCTGCGGGGACGGGCAGCGCCGGGCGATCGCTGCCCTCCGGGAGCTCCTGCCCGCCGGCCCGCCCGGCCGCCTGCTCCTCATCAACAACGCCGGTAACAACCCCCCCCCTCCAACCCCGGGGCTCCACCGCGCTTCGGCCACCAGTAAATAACCCACCCCGGTCAAGAACCGGAGCGGGGATTTCACCCTGTCGGCATCGCGCTTCCATAAAGCCGTGAGCTCGGGGAGCCGCCGGGAACGGGGCGCTTTTGCTTCCCGCGAGTTTTCACCCCGTTCCTTGGGGGCGCAGGACCGGCTTGCCGCCTTCCCGCACCCTCTCACCGCTCTGCCTCCCCGCCTGCCAACCTCCAGAAAAAAAAAACCCTGGCCTTGCCTCGTGGGCGCTTCGCTGGCCACCTCCAACACCCGTTGGCTTTAGCGCCTTTTTTCACCCATTTATCGCTCTCCATAAGACCCCCTGTCGCAACGGGCAATAGGTGCGACAGACCTCAGGGTTCCTGATTCGGTTCCAAAAGAGGGACGTGCAGGAGAGCGCGTGGTGGCCCGTGGGGACGTTGTGCTTCAGGCCGGAGGTCGGGAGCGGTTTGTTTTGGCAGAGGATTGGCAGGGCAGCGTCCCGCGTCGCCGCTGTTGGTTCAGCGAGTGGCCCGAAAGCGATGAGCTCCTCGCCCTGCTAGAGGTTGTGCCGGCAAAACTCCTCGCTTTTGTCTATAAGAGAGCGTGGCGCGGGGAAGTGCAGCAGCAAAAAGGCTCTGCTGCGTCGCTGAACCCACCTTTAACGGCTCTCAACTCATTTCTCCTTCCCAGGCTCCCTGGGAGACGTCTCCAAATCCTTCCTCGACCTCACCGACCCGGATGAGGTCAACAGCTACTTTGCCTTCAACGTCACCTCGGCGCTGTGCCTCACCGCCAGCGCCCTGCAAGCCTTCGGGACGCGGCCCGGCGCCAGCAGGACGGTGGTGAACGTCTCCTCGCTCTGTGCCGTGAAGCCCTTCAAAAACTGGGCTCTGTACTGCAGCGGGAAGGCTTCCCGGGACATGATGTTCCAGGTGCTGGCGCTCGAGGAGCCGGGTGTCCGCGTGCTCAACTACGCCCCGGGTGAGGAGGGAAGCTCGTTAATTCCTATTCATTTTCTCCTGGCTTTGTGGATAAAAGATTCTGGCAGCTGAGCCAGGTTCAGAGGGAAAACGAGCCCCAGATTTTGCTTCCTGCTTATGTGATTTCTTCTTTTTTTTTTGTTGGTTTTTTTTTGGTTTTTTTTGGTTGCTCTTTCCCCAGGTCCTCTGGACACGGACATGCAGCTCTTAGCCCGGACTAAGACTGCAGACCCTGAGATGCGTCAATATTTCCAAAGCCTGCAGGAGAGCGGCCAGCTGATAGACTGCACCGTGTCAGCCCAGAAGCTGCTGAATCTCCTGGAGGAGGACACCTTCCCCTCCGGCGCCCACGTGGATTTCTACGATATCTGAGTTCCTCTCGCCTCCGCCTTTGCCCTCCTGCTTTGCTTTCTGCTGAGCCGCAGAGGTGCCTCCAAGCCTGTTTGGTGACTGTGTTTGAGTCCTGGGTGCTGTGCAGCTTCCAAGAGAAGACCTCTGGGCACCTTAGAAATATTCCTAGTGCCCCGATGGGCGTGGGGGGAAGTTCACTGAGCCCTCCGGGCGTCTGCCGGTGGGAGCGGGGGATTTCTCAGCTGCTGGGGGTGGGGGAGCAGAGATGGATTTTCTAAGGGAATGGCCGTGGAGGCTTAAAGCTCTTTTGTGCAGGAAGAGTGTGTGCCAGCCAAGAAGGTACCATGACACGTGAGGCCAGGTCAGGAAGCCACCCCAGAAGGTCTCAAAGAAGCCAAGAGTAGGGTTAGAACTGAGTGTCCCCGTGTCCGTCCCCTTCGCGCCGCAGGAGCTGTGTGCTCAGCACCTGAGCAAGTCACAAAAGGGCCAAAAAGCCATTCCCATGGCCGGAGGAGGTGGCTGTCACCCCAGAGCCCTCACTGTCCATCTCCTATGGCTTGTCCACACTTCCCTGCAGTTCTGGGATGAGCGCTGCGCGAGATCTGTGCGTTAAGGAGTGGAGCAAAGCCTGTCCCTGTGTTTTCTGCACAAAGACAATAAATTGCCGGGAGAGGGAGCTGGCCGTGGAGGAGGTGTGAATATTTGGGTGCCTGGCTGGGGTCACCAGCTCACATAAACCCGTGCACAAGCGCAGTGTGGGTTAGACCACATCTGAGACACAGTCCTCGGGTCATGCCATGCTCCTGTTTGCAGGTTCTGGGACCAAGCCTGAATCCAGGGCCTCAGCTCCTCCTGGGTTGTTTTCGTTATTTGTGGAGTTTTATCATTTTTTCATCAGGTTCCAGGAAGCACAGGCACTTACAGCTTGCTCTTCTACAAGGAGTGTTGATGCGGGAGAGCTGCTTTGAAGCACAGTGGCTTCCCCTGCGTGCCCTGCAAATGCCCAGTGTCCCTCTGTACTCAGTGACAGCAACCTTCCTGCAGTCCTCTATCTCAACCCTGTATTTTAAATTTTGTCCACCTGGATCTACAATCATTAAAAGTTTCGTGTCTGGGTCTTCTATATCTTTAGAAGTGGTTACATTTTTTGGGAGGGTGAGAGGAGAGAGCCTGAGTTGAGCACTGCCTTCATCCAACAAGGCATCAACATGCCCTCCTGGAGTCCTGTTCTTCCATCTCTGAGCCATTTCATTAACTCTGTGTTAACTTAATCTTGTCAAGGTCAAAAAAACCTCTCCAACTAGCTTGCTGCTTGGTTTCATCTTCCCTCTATGCCTGTGAAATTCATTATTAGCAAAACCCCCTCTGCTGCTCACTACACTGGCACCAGGGTGGTTTTTCTGGGGTTTGATGTGTGATGGCATTTAATGTGATCTGTGAAACCTGGAAACTAAAAATCCCTTTCACCTTCTGTATGTGTGAGCTTGTCCCATCCTCTCTTGGGCAGAAATCTTTTAGAATCTGGCACTCTGCAAAAAATAACCACAGTGCTCAGAGCTGGGGGCCCCAAGTCCTGCCCTTATGGGGTCACAGACCATGGGCTGGCCAGAGGCTGGGCTGAGGGTGGAAGAATCCCCCCCAGAAATGCTCAGGGAGCCCCAAATTGCAAGAGGAGGTGGCTGGGGGCTATTTGGTACCAGCTGGGTGGGAGATGCAGATGTGTTCTTCAGGGTAAGATGTTAAAAGCCAGGGTACCCATGGAGGAGGGTTATTTTTGAACTCTGCGTACTTGGTTGAGGTCTGACCACTCTCCAGTGGCTGGGGTTTTTTCAGCAACTCCGTGTGTCTTCTTGGAGCACCTGCATCAGGGATTGTGGTGTCACAGAGGTGCTGCCTGAAACCAGGCACTTTGCAACCCAAACCTCTCCCCCAAGAGAGGGTACGTAGGCAGGGAGTGCTGTCTTTGAACAGCGAGGTGCTGCTGTCCTGCCACACACAACGCTAATGAAATCATTAATGAAACACCGGATTTGATTCATAGCATGATTTGGGTTGGAAGGGACCTTAAAGCCTCCCCAGTGCCCCCCCCTGCCCCGGGCAGGGCCCCCTTCCCCCAGCCCAGGGTGTTCCCAGCCCCGTCCAACCTGGCCTTGAACCCTTCCAGGGAGGGGGCAGCCACAGCTGCTCTGGGCACCCTGGGCCAGCGCCTCACCCCCCGCACAGGGAACAATTTCTGCCTTATATATAACCTAAACCTACCCTTTTTCAGTTTAAACAATTGTCCTACCCCCACCCCCTCTCCTGTCCCCCCTTTAAGCCCTGGGAGGCCGCTCGAAGGGCTCCCCGGAGCCTTCTCTTCTCCAGGCTGAACCCCCCCAACTCTCTCAGCCCGGCCCCCCAGGGGAGCTGCTCCAGCCCCCCCAGCATCTTCGTGGCCTCCTCTGGCCCCGCTCGAACAGGTCCAGGTCTGTCTTGCGCTGGTACCTGGATCACTTTTTGCTCCCTTTTCCCTTGGTGCCCGGGGGCAGCCCACAAGCAGTGGGAGCAAAACTCAGCCGTGGTGTCCCTGTCCCTTCAACCAGGGAACTCGACATCTGCTCAGAGAGGAAACCTGTCGCAAACACCACACACATACCCAGTGCAAACGCAATGGCTGGGGTGACGTGCTGTGGCTCCTGCTGCTGAATTTTGCTGCTGAAGCAGCCACAGGCTCAAACTTCAAGGGAGTAAGTTTGTCTACAGTGAAGCCAGTTGTCACTTGCCTGTGCTCCAAGCTGTAACCTGGATCTTTTATTTTCAAGGTTTTCATCCCCTTGGACTCACTGCATGTGTGTTTAGGTGTTTGGTGTGGCTCTATAATCCCCAGGGATGCACTGAGTTTATCACTCTTGCTTCAGGGGCAGAGCTCTGCCCAGGGAGAAATGCCAGTGATGCTTTCAGGGCATCCCTTGGGTACCAGTATCCCCCGGGTACCAGCATCCCCCAGCCAGGGAGTGGACCCAGTTCCCGTGCCCCGTGGCTCCAGCCAACATCTGTGCACCCGTGGGTGCCGTGAGATGCAATGACAACACAGTATGAAATATTTTTCTTCCCTTTTCTAGCATTTTCTGTGACCAGCTGAGGGCGCATGGAGACCGGATAACAGACACCAGTCCGGTGGGTGAGACAGAATCCGTGCCTCGGGAACAGCAACGGGCAGTTTGGTGGGATGGAGCGGGATTCAAGATCAGGCTCCCCTCCTGCCTTTGCACCATCTCATCACAGGTCCCTGCAATTAATGAATTATTTTGTTTTTAATTAAGGCTCCATGTCCTGGAGCCATGAGACTATGGCAGCGGCTCAGACAAGGGGAAATGGAGTATTTAAAAAGAAGTTTTGAGCTCTCCTAACTTCAGAGGCAGGAGCTCACAGCTCACCTGACAAAGTGCATCCGATGGGGCTAACGTGCCCTAGGGGAGCCCCAAGATTTGGGCAGCGCTCTCCCATGGGCCAAGGATGAACCCTGCGGCTGAAGGGAGTCACCCCAAAAGGAGCCGTCACCTCCTCCATCCCAGACAGGCCCCACGGGGGTCAAATGGGGCTTGTGGTGCCCAAAATCCTGCCTAGCACAGGGTGTCCCCCCAAGCAGGTCTGCCCCCTCGCCAGCCTCCTGGCCAGACTGCCCTCCTACAGCAAAAGACTGCAGTTTATCCCTTTTTGCTGCTTTTTACCCCCACTTTTGCATTCTTTTTCTCTCTCTTTGCTTTTTCCTTCCCATCCCATCCCTGGAGCAAAGTGCTGGGGGTTGTGGCAGCCCCAGGAAGGGCTGTCCAGCCCCACTCTCCCAGTGTGTGGCTGCAAGGGTTCCCATGGGACATCCCGTTCCCCCACGTCTCCCCCTCCTTTTTCTGACCTCAAGAAAAAGCAATTTATTTGCTGCTGGGGGGCAAAGCAGCAGGACAGAGGTGCTGCCAGCGCTTGGCTTTTGCCAGCTGCATCGGTGGCTGTAACGGATGGATGTTGGTGAAGGTGTGATACCTCCTTGAGCTCTGGTAAAGAGGGGCAGACAGAGCAGGATCATGAACTGTGCAGACACCTCCCCATGTGAGACCCCTGTAAAGTGCTACTGAACCCCCCTGCGATGGCCTCGGTAGGAGATTGGGGCATGAAGGGAATTATAGAATCACAGACTGCTTTGGGCTGGAAGGGACCTTAAAGCCCCCCCAGTGCCACCCCCTGCCCCGGGCAGGGCCCCCTTCCCCCATCCCAGGGGGCTCCCAGCCCCGTCCAACCTGGCCTTGAACCCTTCCAGGGAGGGGGCAGCCACAGCTGCTCTGGGCACCGTGGGCCAGCACCTCACCAACTCCACAGTAAAGAATTTCTTCCTACTATCTAGTATAAATCTCCCCTCTTTCCTTTTAAAACTGTCCCCCCTCGTCCTACCCCCACCCCCTGACCCAGAGTCCCTCCCCCCCATTCCTGTCCCCCCTTTAAGCCCTGGGAGGCCGCTCGAAGGGCTCCCCGGAGCCTTCTCTTCTCCAGGCTGAACCCCCCCAACTCTCTCAGCCCGGCCCCCCAGGGGAGCTGCTCCAGCCCCCCCAGCATCTCCGTGGCCTCCTCTGGCCCCGCTCGAGCAGCTCCGTGTCCTTCTGCTGTTGGGGGCCCCCGAGCTGGCCCCAGCACTGCAGGGGGGTCTCCCCAGAGCGGAGCAGAGGGGGACAATCCCCTCCCTGGCCCTGCTGCCCCCCCTGCTCTGGCTGCAGCCCAGGGCACGGGTGGGTTCTGGGCTGCCAGCGCACGGTGCTGGGGTCACGGGCAGTTTTCCCCCCACTAACACCCCCAAGTCCCTCTCCTCGGGGCTGCTCTCCAGCCACTCCTCGAGGGCCCAGCCTGGGTTTGTGCTGGGGATTGCCTCCAGAAACATGTGTGCGATGCTTAGGGGTGACACCACTCGAGACACTGGCTCCAGGTCCCCAGGGGACTCTCCCCAGTCCCCTCCCCATTCCAGGGGAGACACTGTGCCCTTTGTGCCGGTGCTGAAACGCGGGGGCCGGGTTATGAAAGGAATCAAAGTCACTGCTGGGGTTTTGTTTCCACGTGTGTGAGCGGGTCCCCAGGACCGCGGCGAGGGCGAGCCTCCTAAATCCCCCCCAAAGCCTCCCAAATTAAAACCGGCTTGCACCCCACGACCTCCCAAATCTCAGCCATTGACCTGGGCTGCCCCCGACTCAGCGGGACGAGACACTGCAGCCAGGTCCCTCTGCCCCTTATTAAAGGTTTCTCAGCAGAGGGGTGAAGAAGACCTTTATTTTCCCGTTCGGTGGCCAGAAGTGCTGAGTACGAGCCTTTAGTCAGGACGCTGAGGCAAACAAGCAGCCGCCTCTGGCCACGAGGCCAAAGGTAAATGAGCTGCTCTTTCGGCAACGGTGCTCCCGGGGAGGGGGGAAAGGTCTGGTGGTGCCCACGCATCCCCCCCAGGGATCTCCACCCGGCGCGCAGAGCCCCCCGAGATGCCCACGGAGTCACCCGAGTTGTGTGCACGGCCTGGAGTTAATGGCAGGGGGAGCGCCTGGGATGGGGCGGGGGCGGACACTCGACCAACCATCCCGATGTCTCCCACCTCTCTGTGCCACGAGTCGGGAGCTTTGCAGGGTCTTCTTGGGGCCGTGGTGGGGATTCGGTGGACAGTCACCGAGCCCGAGAGGGTTAGAACAACAAACAGCTTTCTGCTGAGCTGGCACAGTTCTCACCGACACTTCTCCCCAAGACTGAACGCTTGCTCGCACGTCCTCCTCCCCGTAACTCTTCACACTCCTCACTCTCAGCCTGCTGACCTATTATTCTTCTCCCTTCTACACTGTCCCCTGGCTTTGGTGGCCTTAGTGTTAAGCAAGGAGAGGGACCAGCTCCAGGCTGGCCACGTCCCCCGGAGCAGCCACTTAATGTGTAACAAGGGACCCGTTGGTCCAGTAAGGAGAGTTGACAGATTAACCCAGTTTAGAGCCAAAGATCACTGGGTTTGCTGGTAAACTGTCCTGTTCCTGCGAGCTTCAAATGCCTTTAATGAGTTATTATTTAGTCCGCTATGGGATTTAATGGGGAGGACATTGCAGAAATGATCTGTGATTAATTAAACCATCTTTATCCAGTGC